CTTGGACCGAAAAAGAGCAAATCTTCTGAAAGCTTTGAGAGGCATTTCCGAAAGATGCGCCGGTAAGAATCCACTACACATATGCATAATGTTTCAACGAATGTTATGGCATTGTGAAAATAATATCCATAATTCAGGCACTCCGAACCCGATACGTCGCCAGAACTCTCAGAAGCACCAACACCGTTGCTATCGACACCCTGACCACCCATTGAAAGCTTCGTGGGGATCCAGAAGGATTCCAAGAAAGAGGCTCCCGTTTTTTCCAGACAGACTTCTAAGAGCTGTAGCTATTCCAAGATGTCCTGGATGAGTTTCCGCTATCGATCAGCTAGTGGACACCCAACAGTCCGGATCCACACTGAAGTTCGACATTCTCATCTATTCCCAACCCAGGCCTTCCTGTACCTGAACCATCCCCACCAATTATTGACTACCAGCTACTGTACCGAATTTTATTTTAGGACAACACCACTCAAGTTGAAAGAACCACAATGCCCAAGAATCACCACCAACCCTACTTACCTACAATTGCGTGCATTGTGTCTTCATAAATATGTTGAAACTAAAGAGTAAAACCCTCAGATATATTAACCCAGATCGAAATATCAATTATTGTAGAGTAACCCAGTCTCTGAAGGGCTCCTATTATTCTATCAACGAAAACTCCATGTGAAAGAAAACGATAGATAAACGTCTTGAACTGACCTCAATTCCATATTATTCACCTGTAAAACTTTCTTCAAGGAGTTCTGTATCTGTAGAGTAGGGAGGATTTGTCCTCCTAGTTCATCGTCTATCCGGTCCTTTCCAGGAAGGTGTACAGGTCACTGGGAGACATCTCCTTTATATCGGCAGATGTAGGCCAAGGCTCGCCAAATACACACTCTCTTATTGACGATAACTCCGGGCACTCGCACAGGACATGCCTGACAGTCTCATCTTTCTGTTCACACATCCTGCATAGACGTGTGTCCACTAGCCCCATATTATGGATGTGTTTCCTCAGTTGACAGTGGCCAGTCAGAAATCCTACTATTAGGCGTATATTTTTCCTGGTCATCGCCAGATATTTCTTCGGCACCAGCTTCTCAAGGTCGCCCAAAGTGATACTGGCAAGATTACATACTTTGATTCCATCCCATTTCTTCATGGAGCATCGGTGTAACATTTGACTAGTTCCGCAATTGTCGAAGTCATCAGGCGGTAGGTGCCTCTGGGTCCTTAAATTCTTAGTCCAGCCGCTTTCTTGGCTAAAGAGTCGGCAATGCGATTACCTTTACTCATGTCGTGCCCTTCAACCCACCTCAGGATAAAGTTATTATCTACCGAGGCTTTGGCTAAATCTTGGTGACACTCTAGTACTAGCCCTGAGGTTATACATTGTCTGTTGAAGGCTAATAGTTGTCTGCTGTCAGTGCAGATTGTTATGTTTTTGCCAGAAATTCCTTTAATGGATATTTCTTTTGTGGCGATAGAGATACCAGCCAGTTCTGTTTGGACCACGCTGGTATTTCCTCCCATTCTCCACTCAATTCTTAAGCATAGTGATCTGGAGTACACTCCACACCCTGAACCTTCTCTGGTTTTTGAGCCATCTGTATGAATTCGTATTGCATCGTATTGCATATTTTGTAGGGTTTGTTAAACACAAATCTGGGTTCAATTGCATCGCTTGTTGCCTGCGGCAGAGGTTGCGCAGTAAGCGCTTCCTGCCATAGGCCCAGCCTCAACTGACCCATTCTCACTTCAAAGTTCACACCAGCCTTGCGCAATCATACCATGGCCATTAACGCAACCTCCTTAACGTACAGATGCAGAGGGGTCAAACCCGTGATTATTTCCTTTGCCGCGGTTGGTGTTGTTCTCATGGCTCCTGTGATAATTGAATAAGCCAGTCGCTGTATTTGATATAATTTTTGGATGGCCGTTGCTTGTAGAACTTTTGGTCCCCATGTAATGGCTTCATACGTTAACATACGTCTTTTTATTGCAGTGTAGATCAGGTGATCACACGGGGTGAAAAACCCCAGGCGCGTCCCACTGTCCTTCGGCATTGCTCATAAGACACATATGCTCTTTTTGCTCTACTCTGTAGATGAGAGTTCCATGTTAGCTTCCTGTCGAGGATAGTACCAAGGTATTTTACCTCTTCAAAGAAGTTCAGTTTGCTTTTGAAAATTTCGGAAAATTTTAGGCCCGTTAAACTTCTTTTCCTGGTGAAAAGGACCATCTCAGTCTTCTTGGGATTGATCGACAGTGAGTGTTCCTTACACATGTTTCTATTAATTTGAGCCCATCCTGCGCTCTATCGCACAGTGTGTTTACAAATTTTCCGGTCTGCAAGATAACGATGTCATCTGCGTATGCAATTGTGCAGAATCCATTTTTGTTTAGGTGATTAATCAGGGTTTCCAGAACAATGTTCCAGTGAAGGGATGATAAGACTCCTCCCTGTGGACATCCCCTCATGACCAGTCCTTTCACTGTGATGTCTTCTACATCAATACTTATTGCTCTACTAGATAACATCTTGAGTATCTATTCTCCCACTACCAGGGGTAGGTACATTCCTGGAGTGTAGTTGCTGGGTGATTGTTGGAAAGGTTGTTTTATCAAACGCTCCCTCGATATCTATGAATATACCCAGGGTGGATTCTTTGTTGTATAATGATCTCTCGATTATGCCAACCACATGGTGAAGAGCCGAATCAGTAGACCTTCCCGGAGTATATGCAAGCTGATTTGGATGAAGTGGGTTGTGAACTAATACTTTATCTCTTATGTACCGTTCACATAGCCTCTCCATGGTATTTAAAAAAACGATGTGAGACTATTTGGTCGGAATACTATTGGTAGGGTATAGTCCATCCTACCTGGTTTGGCTATAAATACTACTTTTACTCCTCTCCAGTTACTGGGGATATACCTCAGAGCTAGAGAGGCATAGAAGTGTCCAGTCCCCACTGAAATAGGGCTGGTCTTATACCGTCAGGTCCTGGTGACTTGAAGAGGGAAAAGATCGATATAGCCCATCTTATTTTGTCCTCATCAATTACTGCACGAGCAGATTGCAGTCGTATTGTGAGGGTGTTGTTGGTACAACCGTCTAGTTCGTCGTTCCAGGAAAGACAGAATCTGGGAAGTGAGTTTCCATAAGAATCTCAGCACTCTCCTGGAGGTTGGCGGCTTTGTTGCCGTTTTCCCTCGTCAGGATGCCGATACTCTTATGGTGGTCATTTGAGAGTGCCTTCTGTAGCCTCTCTGAGGTTGAATTGATATATACCCCAGTCCTGTTCGAGTCTTGTATGTTTTGCCTTGTTAAAGGTCGTTCTCGCTGTCTTCCTTAGGTGTTCCAATTCAGGGTACCACCATGTGTTGATTGTGCCAGCTGTTTGAACCATCCTCATCGGACAGGATTCCTTGTAGGCAATGTATATTTTGTTGTAAATCAGGACCTCTGTAGCTCTGATTGTACAGAGCTACATCTGTTCTTTTCGGATCACGGGATTTTACAGTGGACCTGAGATCCTGGTTTACCGTATACGTCAGCCAGCGATGGTCCGACATTGAAATATGTTCCGAGACTTGCCAGTCTTGGATTCTGTTTGATATTTTGGCTATCGTAAGCGTGATATCTATTAATGTTGGCTACGGACGTTAATAAATGTCGACTCCGTGCCTCTGTTCAAGATTGCTAGATCTTTCTTAATAAAATATTCATATATGGACTCACCTCGGGCGATGATATCCTTGCTGCCCCAGCTCAAGTGCTGAGAGTTCGAGTCGCAACCCAATATGAGCTACAGTCTCTGGTGGAGGCAGTTATCCACTAGTACCTCCATTTCTCTGGTCAGTGGTAGGGTGGCCTATTTTTGTCCGTATTCATGGTTCCCACAAGTAGTAAGGGAAGGATGGGTCACCTTTGACAGAGCCCCGCATTTCCGGAGAAAGGCTAAATACAATGAGGTTTCGCCCGGTTCCTCAAGGGGATCGTTCGTAACCGCATATCACCTTGCAGGTCTTTTGGGGTTTTTTAGTTCCCCTCACCCTACTTATTTCTGCCACTGACCAGGAGTCCGGCGACCCCGTCCGTAAGGCCACATTGGCTTCCCGGACAGGGCCTCTAGTCCCCTGACCCTTCCCCTATCCACCACCTGGTGACGCGCCCGATAGGTAGCCCAACCCACGGATCTTCAAGGAGTTTTTCACCAATGAAGTTTACTTTTCAAACTCCACAGACTCTTTTCAGAACACTCTGTTAAAATGATTGATCTGATCACAGCAGTCCTAGGTGAAACCATTCTTGGATTCAATGACCGCTCACTTCACAGTTGTGAAGAATGGAAATTGGTTAACGACGTTGACGCTCTCGTTGGAGCTTGGCAATCAAAACTTTATATTACTATTTTGATTCGCCTTTTGTCTTTGTGCCAAATGTGTGTAAACTATATGACTGTTCGAGATGTATTAATATTTTTCATCGTAAACCTGCTAGCATGGGAGCTATTCTCAATAATCTTTGACATCATATTCTCCCAACAGGAAGGAATTGTGTATGTGTTATTTTCAAAACTCACTCATACAGTTAATTGTATGACATTCACTGTAAAGAGTTTCACAAAAACCACGACACGTGTTTTGCTATACAAGAGCTTTCTCAAGCGTTATTTTTCACAAATTTTCTCGTAGCTCATATACAATACGTTATTTATATTGTTCACGTTATTGTTGCTATTTTTTTATATCATCTTATGAACAAATTTTATATAGTGTAGATATGCCTGAGCTCAGACATATACACAATAACTATACTAATCACATGTGACCGTGCTTTTCATATAGGGTATCGTATCATGACCATTACTGAAATATATTCACAAATTTTATCAGTAGTTGGTTAGTTAGTTAGTTTTTATCTCTATTACAATTTCATGTTAATGAACATGACATTATATTTACGGATATATGCAAATTGTCACTGGAATAGTTCACGAATGTTTGGTTGTGAGAGGTAGCACACTGCTAAAATGGAAGCTGTTGAGTTGAAAGACGAGAAAATCCAACCTACTATTAAAGTATATCGCAAAAGATGGATCATTTTGATGATTTATTTTTTGTGTGTCTGGTTGTGTTCAGCGCAGACCATTGAATATTCAATTATAACCAATGTAGTTATGAAATATTATAATGTGAGAGCTTCTACGGTATACTGGACAGTGTTGTGCTTCATTATCATTTGGCCAATATTCGTATTTCCTGCATCTTACATTATCGATAAAATGGTGAGTGACGAAATAAGTTTTGTCATACATAATCATTATTATTTTTATATAATATTGTTTAACCTGTCATTTCCACTTATGAATAATAACTGCTCTGAAAAAGTTTTTCACTTGACAAGGGTATACGTTATCCGTGAGTTACATGAAACATATATAATATAATATGTCGAAGTTCAACTTGTGACTGTGTAGCAGCAGGTTATTGACAATTTTATAATCTGTTGCACATTTATTTGTGATTGGCAGATTCTGGCCGAAAAGCACTATGGAATCGTTAAAAAAATTCCATCAAATTCAAATCAACACTGAAGTGGCGCCACCCAAATTTGTGGAAATTCAAGTAGAAACCAATTATAAAGCTAGGAAATTGAACGATGGGAACGTATTTTGTGGAATTTGGTCGTTGAGTAATAGCATAAACAGAATATTAAAATTCATACCTGTATATTAGAGTTGGAACAAACAAACACTCCTGTGATATGGAAGTCGAAGATATTTTGGAAAAGACAGAACTCAATTTTACAAAGTGAGATCACACCATACATGGAAAAAGATTACCCATGGCATAGTATATACGAAGTCAATTCGAATGGCCTGAAAAATAAATAGTTACCGAACGTCGGCAGTTTCTTTGTATAGCATGAGCGGTGTGGTATCATTATTATGTCTTACTATTATTTTTATGTGTGAGGTTTTATATGGTATTAACTAGTGAATTTATAAAAAAAATCTGTTTAAAAATCTGTTTTTCCGGTAACCAGCTGTCGCACCTCTACGAACGACAACCGTCAGAAGTCGAAACTTGTGCGAGCTGAGGATTAACGAGGTCTTACCTTTTAACGTGTGATTCCTAACACGGGTTTGGACGATAGCAAGTGAAAATCGATCGTTCAAACTGGGGCTTGAACCACCGACCAACACGGCAGTCAATTCGAGTGAGTGAACAAAGCACCCACGTCGAACCGCCTGGCTACCGACCCATTACATTAGTGTTTTATTCGCCTGTTCGGATTGACTCCGTATAGACTATACTATGCATCAGTGCACAACATTATTGCATCATGATAATGCTTATTTTCAGATAATTATAATGAACACTTCACCCATAGCTTTTTTCATAGATAAAAAGGGAAAGTATTTCGGTTCAAAATAACATTATAAGTTAACATTACATTATAAATTCTAGCTTTATTGGTTCTCTTCGCATGACAGTAACATTGCTGTAGTATACTATCCAGCTGGACAACATCAAGGACGTTTCTTTAACACTGAAGTAAAGGAAAAGTTCAAAAAGATCTGTACTATTCGATATACGATTGTATGGTGATTAGTTTCACTCATTCTTAAATAAACTACCTATTCGTTTGATGTCATTCTACAACACTTGAAATGAATTTCAATTGAAGCAAACCTAACACAAGAAGACTATCTAAAGGATTATCAAATTTCCTCAAAGATTTATTTCTGAAGGGAATAAGGGAACGGTTTATCTATCAAAAACTGGGTGCCTAGTAGTCTGATCAAGCAAAAAACTGCTGGCAGTTTTCATAGGATAAATGGAAAGTAGAATATTCAAAATTACCCCTGAATTAGGGGCTGGAAACTAACTATACACATGGTATCCTGTAGGAGGCGTGACTTCATTTGAATTCATTCAAATAATTTGAGAAAAAAAATAGTGTAGTAACCCAAACGCTGCACAACCCCTCTTCGAAAAAACTGAATGAAGCAGGAGGTGCTTCACTTCATTTGAAGATTTGAGAACAGTTCCTAACCGTGTTAGGAATCACACGTTAAAAGGTAAGACCTCGTTAGTCCTCAGCTCGCACAAGTTTCTCAACTTCTGAGAGTTGTCGTTCGTATGGGGGCGGCAGCTGATTAACGGAAAAACAGATTTTAGACAGATTTTAGACAGTTATTGGAACGATATCTTTCCGTTACACCATGGACACTAACTGACGCCTGTCTTTTTCCTAGAACCAAGTATGTGGCAGATGCCGTCTCGGTAGACTTCGAGATGAAAAGTACATGTCATCTATGGTCATATAATAGATGCTTTACCTCCGATAACAAACGGAATATTTCTAATGAACTGAAGATCTTCGGGGTTTCTTCATGTTAGAGTCTGCACATTGAATTATTTCTGCATCTCAAACATTCATGCAAGACCAAATTAGCTTCATGAGAAATTTTGTTGTGATAGACTTCCAATAATGATACAGTTTAACGTAACACAATACAGGGTGTAATTGAACAAGTGTAAAACATTTAAGGAGGTGATTCCACATTGTTTTTTTGGAAGAAACCCGCAATTATATCTGTTCTTTTACCAAAATATGTTAGTTACCCATTTCTTGATTTCTGATTGTGTGATCTGGGGGTATATTAATCTGTATGTGAACTTACGGCTTTGTTTTCTGAATAACTTCTGGATTGTGTCGGCGTTGAGACCATTATTATGGCCTATCTTAGCTAGATTGTTAGCAGACAAACGTAGTGAGAATACTCTGTGTAACATTGAATTGTAGGCTGCTAATTTATGACAGTCTGGATGTGAAGAATCACTCGGGATGGTAATGTCTGTATAGCTATACAGAAGAAATATCGTTAGCTCTCTGTACCATTGACCTAAACGCGGATAATTTATGTGAGAGTGGACTGATAGAGTCAAAGGAAATTGAACAGTCTGTGAATGTGTTTTTTGGTAGATATTGAACTGAAAACCATTATTGACTCTTGAAATATTCTAATCTGAGAAGTTAAGCTCCTTGTTTCGTTCGATTTCCACTGTCAATTTGATTTTGTCATGCAAACTAATGAGGAGAAATCAATTTTTGAACTTCCTCAATAGTCTGCAAAACAAAATCAAATTCACAGTAAAAATCATCAATTTCTATAAAAAAGGTTCAAAAGTCAGCTTTCTGAAATGTTTAGCACCCAATGAATTGAAAAATTTCCAATATATCTTGATCGATAGAATGGACTAGAATAACTTGCCTGGTCCTCACAGGTTACCACATTTATTCCTCTCATAGAATAATCATTATCGGTAATTGTATATGATCCATAGTGCAGTTAATTGAACGTTCCACTGAAAAAGCAGGGCGTTTTTCTACATTTCTGCAAAATCAACTCTACAAATAGTTTCTTCAGGTAAACATGACCATCACCTCAGATCTCACGTGGTCCACACAATATAATGTAATCGTGGAAACTTACCAGCACTCTGATCTACCTCATTTACTAATCATATGTTCATACAAGTCCTGTTCAACATCAAGTTTCGAACCAATCAAACCCATTTTCTGATATTATATAAAATGATTTGAAATCGCTGAAAGAACTAATAAAAAAAGAATTACAAAAAATATCTGAAAATAACAATTATATTAAGCAAAAAAAACCTGAAATGAAATAAAAGTGGAATGAAATTCAAATAAAAATAGAAAAATTGAACAAAAATTAAAAATAAATAGTTGAGAGATTTCAAGCACATTGCTGTAGTATACTATCCAGCTGGACAACAAAATTAGCAATGATACCAAAAATATCGAAAAATCCCCAAATGGCAAACAGGTAAAACTGGAGCTTCAGGTGTAGAATAAATTCAATGCAAGCAGGTAGAAGTAGCCTTGAAATCTACTTTCTCTCTTCAGTCATTGTTGGGTCACCCCAAAAACAAGATGGAGGGCAATGCAAAATCAAGGATATATGAAATAAGCCGTAAGGACTGCGACAAAAAATGTATCGGTCATATTAGGCAAACTATTGAAAGACATATCATAGAACACGCAGCACATATCCGATTCCGGAGACCAAAAAAATACAGTGTTGCCTGATGCACCTTGAAAAACACTCAGAGAAAAGTGTCTGAAATTTTTGAGACCTGTTTGAGAGTTAGGAATTAGTTATCCGCATCTCTTGAAAACGACAATTTGATTGGTGAAGAAGAACGCGGGAGAAGAATATTACATTTTCAACAACTGGAAAAAGTGATTGTTTTTGTGCAAACATAAAGCATATGTTCAAGTTTTTCATCAAGATTTCAATAACAAAAATAAAAATTATAATTTTCAACTTCTGAAAATGATTTGAAAGAAATGTTTCACAAATTAGCTCTGAAAGAAAACGTGTGTGTATTAAAATATATTTTTCAATAACTACTTATGAACGACAACTTCGGAAGTCGAAACTTGTGCAAGCTGAGGATCAATTGTTATCAGATTTTTGGGAAAGTAATCATCATTAATGGTGGAATAGGTAATTTATGAAAGAATATGATGAAAGTGTTTTCTATTATGGTAACAAATGAGACTCGCGGTTGGTCAGAACTGATGTTCAGAAACACCAACAACTCAGAAACTATTTTCGCTGCTGATAACGAACTGATGACGAAATAAAAACATATATTTTGAGAATACGGATAATGTATGATAACAAAAACCTAAAAAACAATTGAAATATAGCTGTCAACTTTACTTCCATGAGAGATGAGGTTCTGAAATTTTCATTATTGATTTGTATAAAAATTTATGAAAGAAATAAATTTTGCCAACTTCATTGCAACGAAGGTTTCTTGAGTTTTGATTGGTGAAATAGCTGATATATCGAAATCTGTGAAGATCTCATCAGGCATTCGTTACCCCATAAAAGTTAAACTCGCTTCAACACAAACAAACAAAAATTATTAACAAGAAATGAAAATTGAGAGATTCCAAACCAAGTTACTTCACGACGTTTCGATTGTTAGTATCCAGAATCGTCTTCGGATGATAAATGGACTTATTCCTCCGGGATCTATTTATAGGCCATTCGAGTGCTTTCACCTATCCCCCATTTCATCTCATCGCTTCATTGGTTTTTGCGGGAGCTAACCCTTTGGCGTGAGTTGGTCGTGTTCTGCTTGATTAGAGGTTTCCATATGTTGCGTATCGATACGCAAGCTTGACTAAATGCGTTGTTGGACAACATAAATGCGGCTTCTTTGAATTTTCTCTAAACCAGTATTCCTCCTTGTGGATGATTTCAGCTTGAGCCCACTTGATGTTATGTTGATTAGTCCAAACATGCTCTGCTATTCCTGAGTTGCTGGCTTCTCCTTGCTGTGTGTGTTTCTTGTGCTCGGTAATGCGAACTTTCAATGGCCTCTTAGTTGATTCTCAGCACTTACAGGGTATTCAGTGAATGCAATTTTTGGGATCGCAGTCTGCGTTTGGTGACCTGGTTTTCGTGAGGCTGCTACAGGTAGTGTTTCCAGATCTGAAGCAGGTTCTGATGTTATACTTGGATTCAGTTTTTCTTTTTCTTTCCGATAATCCTCTGATGTAGGGAAGAACATGAACTGGTTGTGGCGGCTCCTCTTCCTTATGAGGCTCATGCTATCTTCTAGCTGAAGTCTGTTCCACCTTCACTTGGAGTAACATTTCCAATGAAGGTCATTTTTGATGATGCCTAGTTCCTTTTCGAGACCTTTTTTTGTTTCACAGAGCCTGAAAGCACGGTCTACTGGAGTCTTGATGATTCCTGCCTCAGACGTTGATGGTGGTTGGATTCCTGGTTCAGATACTGTCCCGTGTGAGTGGGTTTTCGGTTTACAGATGTTTCCAATTTAGTGTCGGTCCTCTTCACCAATACGTCTAAGAATCGCAATTCGTTGTGAACTTCCTTCTCCATTGTTACAGTGATGTAAGGACTTACGATGTTGATGTGCTTCAAGAAGTTGTCTGGTTTTGCATTCCCATGGTTCTGTACTATGAAGATGTCGTCCACGTATCTCAACCAGACTCAGGACTTCTTGTGCGCTTCTTCAATGACCAGAGTTACAAACCACTCCATATATATGTTGGCTATAACCGGTGAAAGTGACGATCCCATTGGCAGTCTCTCATCTTGCGTGAAGAATTCGTCCTTCAGTTGAAAGTAGCAGTTTCGAACACATCACCCTAGTAATTCCATGATTACTTCTATCGGTAAGTTTGTTCTATCTTCAGGTCCCCATCTTCGGTATGACTTGGAGTGCTTCTTTGACAGGAACTTTGGCGTAGAGGCCCTTCACGTCGATACTGATCATTTGATCCTGCTCTTTGACTCCCATTGCCCCCACTTCGACAATATGCCATAAATTTTTCACAAAAGATGATGTTTTTTCTTGCAGTGGTTTAATTATTGGTAGTAAAAATCTGGACAAGTTTTGAGTGACCGAATCTCTGGAGCTAATGATCGGTCTGAGCGGAATATCTTTCTTGTGGACTTTGGATAGTCCATACAAGTGAGAAGAAGGCTTACTATAGTGTGGTGTTAGTGATTATCTCTCTTTTTCCGAAAAATAGACTTAGTGTTTTTTCAAAGTCTGGTACAACTTTTTTTCAATTGATGCAGTAGGGTCCCTTACGATCTTCGTGAATTTTCCTTTCTGAAGCACCTTTTCGATCATCTGCTCGTAGAGATCAGTATTCATCACAACAGTAGCTTTTCCCTTATCTTCAGGTAAGATTTTGATGGTGTGGTATCTACGTAGCCCGTTCAGAGCTCTTCGTTCCTCATTGCTGATGGTAGATGTTGGAACTGGTTCTGGATCTTGCTGTTCTCTGATTTTCCATCTGAATTTTTTCTTCCTCGATCTATCAATAAGGGAACTGGTGGATTCCACTGCAGTTATAAGTGGCACAGATGTTGGTGCATTGGCGAAGTTGAGACCTTTCCTCAACAAGGTTTTCTTTATATTGTTTTCGTCGGTAACAATCTCTTTGAGGCGTCCACTACGTGCATCGTCCTCAGTGCTTATATCAGCTCATTTAATCTCATAAAGTCACTTCTCTAGGATCGATTTTCCTGGTGCAGAATCCGAATTATGTTTATCAAGCCAAGCCCTGGGTTCGAGAGTGTTTATTTTTTGCCAAAAAGCAATGCTTCATTAACACATGAAATTCCTTTCTATTCAGTTTCTTCATACTAACAAAAGTTACTTTTCTCAACATGTTTTATCCTACAAAATAATATTCCGACAGCTATGAAATGTGTACACGTGTCTTTTGAAGGTTAGAGTGAACTGAAAATCATACGGATTCAATACTAGTTTCCTGTAATTTTGGTCATGAAATAACGATAAATATTGAGTGAGTCGGAAACATTCTTGCTCTCTGAGAGCTATCTTGGCGTGCGCTACCTATACGGTTAGAGTTACATGCAGATAATGTACCGTGAGATTGTTCATCCAAAATAGTTCTAAATAAAAGTCCGCGATAGTATCTATCTACCTCTTATATGGTAGCTACTATATGCAAATTACTGAGCCATAAATACAAATAAATTGGATACTTTTTTTACAATGCACATTTCAAAATATCTGTCAAATTCTTATAAAAATTGGGACAATTGTCGTTTTGAGTATTTAATAGAGATGAACTTTGTCATTTACACTAAGTAATTTGGAAGAATCGTTTAAAAGTTGTCACGATAAGATTAACTTGACGTAAGCCAGTAAGCCATTACGCGTTGCGTCTACTGTAAGACGACGGGGGACAACGCGCTGGGGGTAGAGGGCGGTCTAAGTAATGTCGCGGGAACGCGACCCGAACGCGGGCAGACGCGAAAGGGCAGACATCGTTGACGGTTGTGTTAGTTTAGTGAATTTCTTTATAGGTAACATAATTCGATTCTCAAAGCTATTCATTACTCAGTGCAGTTAGCATATATTTTCATTTACTGTATTTTCGAAGTAAAAGAATAAATTCCTAGCTGTTGCCCGCTCGTATATTAACGTACAGTCGAAGCTATTGAACCTTGAATCCTGAAATATGGAGGTAGGTTCTTTGTATAGCTTGAATAAGCATCAAGTAAGGGAATCAGGAATTTTCACCCCGCATTGGGAAAAAGGTTCACAGATTGTATTGAAATTCGTCAGTTTTGAAGTTGGAATTTTGAAGTTTTGGGTTAATGAAAAATATTGTAAATATTTGTTTAAAATGGTGTGTCAAGTGAATTACTTGACATTTTTCATGAATATTTTTATGTTGTTGGTATGACTCCGTTCACCATACTTAAAATTTGTATCACATTTCCGAAAATTAAATATGTTTCGGGTTGTGTAATGGTTATACATCGCCGAAAATTAGGTATTACGGTAACGTCATTATTCTGTTGTCTATCATTTTCAAAACCAAAATCACACTTTTTATTTACAAATACAAAAAATAACTACCGGGATACAGGTTCCCTTAATTTTCTTTTGATTTTGCAGGGTTTGAGATTTGCAGTATTGATTGGTATTTTGTCTACGGCAATTGGCTCAGGTGTGAAGGTGTTATCTGTTGGCGAAAACTTATTTTATGTTGTTATTCTGGGACAGATGATTGTTGCTGTATCTGAATTATTCTTGTTTAATCTACCATCAAAACTTAGTGTGGTATGGTTCAAACCTGAGGAGGTATGTACTTGAGGTATAATAGTTAGCTTCCAACTGTATTATTATTGAATAACTGACATATTTTGAATGAAATATTGATTGCATTAGTCAGTTACTTTGGGAAAATGAGCCAAATTTGGAATTGAACCTTCGAAATGACACATCATTCAATCTCTGACATGCTTAACAAATGCTTAAATGCTTAAAGCATTCAAACGCAAGTGGTTACGATGAGATATCAAACAATTTATTAAAAAATGTTCTTATGAACTTTGCAGCCCAATGACGTATATCATAAACTTGTCTACTGAAAATGGAATTTTTCCGGATAGTCTAAAACTAGCAAAAGTAACACCAATTTATAAAAAAGGGGATAGAAACCTCTATGAAAACTACAGTGAAATTAGCTTACTCTCAAGTATTTCCAAGATTTTTGAACTAAATTTAAAAAAGCAATTAATGTCTTTCTTCACAACAAATAACCTTTTTTCAGAAAACCAACACTGTTTCACACAGAACAAAAGTACAGAAACAGCACTTTATGAGTTCAATGAGCATGTGGTTAATGCACTTGATGGTAAATTCCATATTTGCGGATTGTTCATAGACTTCTCCGGAGCTTTCGATTGCGTTAATCATGACCTGCTATTAGGGAAATTGGAAAGATATGGTGTAAGAGGAGTTGCCCTAGATTTAATGAAATCCTACCTGGAAAATAGAGGGCAACGTGTCAGTGTTGGAAACACTCTCAGTCAGTTGGCAACCATTAGGCAGGGTGTCCCACAGGGATCAATCCTTGGACCTATACTATTTTTGATATATGCAAATGACCTGATGAAATATTTTCAAGGATTGTCAACTATTCACACAGTAGCGTATGCAGATGACACAAATTTCATAGTGAAGGAAATTGATGTAACGACCCTACAGGAAAGAACCCAGGATGTACATAAACAAGTAAACATATGGGCAGAAAAAAATCAC